AGCAGATCCATCTGCCCTGGCGCGGGGCTGGCTGGGGTCCGCTGAAGGCCAGAGGCTTGTTATTACTGGTGGTGGCAAGTCACTCTCCTCTCTGCCTCTCCCTTGGGCCCCCTACCAACTGCCATTAGAGAAGGTACAAGAAAATGCGTGTGGTCAGGGGAGAGAACTGAGGTTGGCATTAGTTTATTCTCCTCCACGACATGTATTCTAAACGTGATTTTTATTTTATTTTTGGCATGGGGGATCGAACTGATGGGCACTTTACCACAAGGCTACATCCTCTAGCCCTTCTTATTTTTATTTATCTTGAGTCTTGAGAAATTGCTGAGGCTGGCCTCCAACTTGCCATCCTCCTGCCTCAGCCTCCTGAGACACTGGGATTACCGGCGTGTGCCACTGTGCCTGGCTTAAAGGTAATTTTAGAGCAAAGTCACAATGTTACCGGGTTCAGTAATCAAAAGGATACAAATGTGTTTGGAAAACTTCTTTCTTCTCTTTCCTACTCCCTTCATTTTCCTATCCCTTGCCCCACCAAATACACACACACACACACACACACACACACACACACACACTATATTTTATTGGGCTATCTCTTAGTTTCCAAGCTATTGTTCCATGGGCTATGTCCAGAAGGGAATTCACATTTTCTTTAAAAGAAGTCTCCGGCCGTGCATGATGGTACATGCCTGTAATCTCAGCGACTCAGGAGGCTGAGGTAGGAGGATTACAACTTGAAGGACAGCCTCAAGCAAATTTACAAGGCTGTTAAGCAATTTAGTGAGAACCTGTCTCAAAGTTAAAAATAAAAAGGGTTACAGATGTAGCTCAGTGGTAAAGTGCGCCTGCCGTCAATCCCCATTACAAAACAAAAACAAAAACAAACAAAAAAACAAAGTCACAGCTTATCTAGCACCCATCAGCATGACTCATGAGTGTTCCCAACCAGAACCCTGCTAGATGGCCGGTAGGGTTGGAGTTACTCATTCCAGCTTGAAGGTAAGGAGCCTGAGGCCCAGAGAGGTGAAGAAGCTCACCCGAGGCCACACAGCTGGTAAACAACAGGCCGGCCTCGGCTCTGGGTTCCCAAACCTGCCTTTATTCTGCTAACATCGGGCTCCTGGCTGAATTTGGGGGATTGTATCGTAAGGGACCTCAGCAGGCTCCGGGAACTGGTGGCCAGCACTCGTCCACCCCGGACATGAATTTACCCAGAAAGGGAACCATGTGCTTCTCCAAATGTGGGACTCAGCAGCTGCCTTGGGGGTGTGCTCGCTCCCAAGATGTTGGCAAGTTCCCCGCCGCCCAAAAATGTCCCCCCACCACCTGTCACAAGGCCTCAAATTCCACCATGGGAGAGGTATGGCCCCTGGGTTTCAATTAAGGACTGTTTCCGGGCAAGGTTTCAATGTAGATGACACCTACATCCTTTCGAAGTCCCTTCTCAGCAAAGACCTGGCTGGGCCCTGGAGGGGGGGGGTATCACAGTGTCCTGGGAGGTGAGGAGGAAGCAGGCGGCTGGAGGGGGGGTTTGGTGACAAGGCAGTGACAGAGCCCAGGGTGGTCTCCGTGTTTCCTGGGATGGCCCTTGGCCAGCGCCCCCTGCCTGGCTGCCGGTTGCCCACGGTGTGTTTTAGGCTGAGACATTCAATAGCCTCGCGAGGAGCAGGGGAAGCCCAGAGCGCGTCACGGGATGGCAGAATGTCACAGTTGCCACTCAGCCAGTCCTGAACTTCAGCCGGTCACGTTCCTTCCTAACTCCTGTTTCCATGATCCCACCACCTGGCGGATTACTCGGCTTGATATTTTCCTCTAAATGGACTCACTTAAGAAAAAAAGGAACTTCTATTTTAAGGAGTGCATGCGTGAGATTTCCTCGCCAAGGAAAGATACAGACAAATCCCTCCGGCTTTTGTGTGGCCAATGCAAGAATTATGGGGGCTTGGGGGGAGCAAGCATTAATAATAAAAAAATTTTTAAAACGACGGCAGTTATGTTTACACGCTGTGATCTTTATTTTGTTCGCTGCATTTTTTTTCCTAGTGCGTTTTAAGATAGAATAGCTATTAGAATAACAATGAAGGCTCATCCAGTATTATCCCAAATCATAGGATAGGGATCGCTTCTTGCTGGGGCCTCTAATTTTGTCTGTGGGGACATAGGTTCAGAAGGAGGGAGATGTGCAGGGGACATGTCTGGCTGGAAGTAGGACACAGCCTGAGAAATGTCATGGAGAGGGGTCAAAAGAACAAAGGAGCTGGACGTAGTGGTGCACACCTGTAATTCCAGCGACTCGGGAGGCTGAGGCAGGAGGATCTCATGTCTGAGGTGAGGCTGGTCTGGGAAACTTAGATCCTGTCTCAAAGTAAAAAGGGCTGGGGAGTGCAGCTCAGTGGCAGAGCATGTGCCTGGCCTGCGTGAGACCCTGAGTTTAATCCCCAGCAGTGCAAACAAACAAACAAACAAACAAACAAACAAACAAACAAACAAATCATCCCTACAGGAAGCCCAGGGAGACTGCAGACCCTGGCTCTACCTCCATATCTGTGAGTGGAGGTTTTTTTCTGTTTCTTCTCTGGGTCTCCGTTTCCCTAAGCTGTGACTTTGGTGCTTTATTGGAGGGTCTAGGAAGATTGAGGGAGAGAGATTTAGGCAGGTGAGATTCCTTTAACATAAAATTAAACATTTTAAAGCACAAAGTCTAGAGGCATTGAATACATTTACCTGTTGGGAGGATGTGGCCCGGGGGAGTACCATAAATTTGTGTCCACATTTCAGTGTGGACTGTGTGTGTGTGTGTGTGTGTGTGTGTGTGTGTGCATGTGTGTGTGGTGCATGTGTGTGAACCCGGAGCCTCACACATGCCAGGCAAGCTTTCTGCCACTGAACTAGGTCCCCAGCCCCTGGACGTGTGTTCATTTCTCTGGGTGGTCACCCAGGAGGGAGCAGCGAGGTCTCACACTAGCTCTGTGCTGAGCTCATTGAGGGCTGTGTGTACAGTTAGGAAGTCCCCAGATTATTATCAGGTGCCCCAGCAGGGAGCAGCAGCGCAGACCATGATGACACCGGGGTGCCCTCTGAGGTCTCTCCTGGGTTGTGGGTCCTTGGATTTTCCCAGCTCGGCTGTCCCACAGGGAGAAGGCCTTGTCTCGCCTCCCATCTCCTTGAGTTTCCTTCGCGGAGCCCAGGCTGTGCCAAGAAGCGAGCTGGGCACGGAGGAGACGATGGGAAGGGCTTCTGTCTCCCACGTAGGGGCGGAGGTGGGAGAGCTGGGGTCAGCCGAGGATCCCGGCTGGAAGAGACACTGGCTGGATCTCGAGGTTGCTGCAAGTGGGTGGGCCGGATGTTCCTGGGCGAGGACACGGCGCTCCTGGGTCCCCTTGGCAGGGACGGAGCTGGCTGGGGCTGCCTTTCCTTCCTCTGGCTTTGCAGCGGCCCTGGAAGCACGCGTGGCTGGAACCCTGGTCCCTGGACGCGCCCACTCATCAGCGCAGCAGATGCGGGTCATTACTCTGATGGCTGCTGAAAACGGTGGCCGGGGCCCAGGGCACGTCTGCGGATCACTTAGGGCCCTTGCAGAGCCGGTCAGCCCCCACGCACCCAGGGGCAGGTGCTGTGCAGGCTTCCCACACAGCCCTGCCAAGATTGTCCCCGGGCCCTGCAGCGAGCACGCAGCCGGGCTCACCCCTCCCTGGCCCCGCTCCGGGAGCAGCTGGCAGGGGCCCAGGGGCATCGGCGGGTGGCCAACGGAAGGGGGCCCGGCTCGGGCTGTCCTGCAGCCTCGGTCTCCACGCTTCTCCCACCGTGTGGATGTGCCGGGCACCTCCCCGGCTGAGGACAGGCAGGATCTAGTTTCATGGCGCATTCAAAGGCGCAGAGCGCGGCAGAGCCGGCCACATTCCTGGGCCAGGGAACAGCCATGTCGTTA